GGCGCAGCAGCCACGGGGCGGGCGGAGAGCGGCGGCCGCCCCTCCTCCCCGGGCGGGCCCTCCTCTTCCTCCCCGTGCGCGGCCTCGCACGGCGCCGGCCGCTGCCGGCCGGCCTGGTGYTTGCAGCGCTCCCTGACCCCCTCTGCCTGCCCTTCTCTGCCCAGAGCAACGTGCGTGCTCTGTAAACATGCAGCGCTGCTTTCGCTTGGCATCTGGTGGCCTGCTTAGGACGAGAACAAAGTTTAACAACAAGCTGCTGCGCTTGTTYATCTTCTCACCTCTGCACCTGTCCTCAGCTCTGGGGAGGCCGCACCTGGAACGCTGTGTCCAGTTCTGCGCTCCCCAGGACAAGGGGAATATGGAGCTTCTAGAGAGGGTCCAGCGCAGGGCTACGAGGGTGATGAGGGCCTGGAACATCTGCCCTGTGAGCAAAGACTAAGTGAATTGGGTCTGTTTAGCCTGGAGAAGATTGGGAGAGCAGCTGATCAAAATGTCTAAATATCTGAGGGAGAATGTAAGGAGGAGGGGGTCAAACTCTTTTAGGTGGTGGCCAGTGACAGGACAAGGGGAAATGGGTCTCAGTTTAAACACMGGCAGCTCCATCTCCGTGTGAGGAAGAACTTCTTTCCTGTGAGGGTGACAGAGCTCCGGCACAGGCTGCCCAGGGAGGTTGTGGAGTCTCCTTCCCTGGAGACCTTCCAAACGGTCCAGGATGCCACCCTGTGCTCTGGCACGTGACCTGCTGGAGCAAGGGGGTTGGACTAGATGGTCTCTAGAGGTGCCTTCCAACCTTAGCTTTCCTGTGATGCTGTATTCCTATGCATCTGCACTGCTGGCTGCTGCCAGTGCTGTTCTGTGTCTCCCTCCCTCCTGAATCACACTGAACATCTAGTGTCATCCTCCTGGCAACCAAACTCGTGCTGCAGTGAGCCAGGGCACTGCAACAGACCAGCCTGCTATTTCACCCTTTTGTTTGGTGTTCACCAACCATGGAGGTCTTCTTTGGAGGTTCTTTGCCTCCTTTATGTTCAGCATTTTTTTCCTTTTGAGTGCAATAGGTCTAGGGAAAAAAAATGTAGAGAACAGTCWTTGCAAGTATTTCAGAGAGTGGTCTATTCTGGAGTACTGTTCTTCTGAAGCATAACTATTTAGAGGAGTAGTAGGTCTTGGAATAACTGTATATTGAGATTCTTTGTCGAATATGCATACGTCTGCATTGAATTTCAAAATAATGAGTTTGAGCATGAGGTTTACAACATCTCTTGTTTTGAAAGGAGAGCAGAGATTCTCCTTTCATGTGACTTAATTTCTTGCGCGTTTTAAGAACCAATAAGGTTGATAACATACTTGAAGCTGTAGCTTCATTTCTGTTCTCTTCCCGATTTTTTTTCCTTCAAGATGTGTTTCTTTAACCCCATTTTCCCAACTAGCCGTGGAACTGGTTTGAAATACTTTTTTTTTTTCGATATTTTGAATTCAGGTGAAGATAGAGCAAAAAAAAAAAAAAAAA